AAGGGGAAAAAATCTATTCTCCCATTTCAAACCATGATACAAATGGGCACTGACATGTGGAGAGAATAGACATTTGTATGTTTGCAATGTGTGTTTTAGATAAAATAGGATTGGGTATTTAAATTAGCATATTTGTGAATTTAATAGCATTAAGATTACTTTCAAATGAAAAAAAATCTCAAAAAAAAAAAATAGGCTGGAGATGTAGCTCAGTGCAAAGGTCTTCCCAGTACTGGGAGAAAAGAAAGAAAGAGAGACAGAGTCAGAGACAGAGAGAGGTGGGGGGAGCGAGAGCGCGAGATAGAGTGGGCAGGCATGGTGTGCACACTTGTAACCCCAGCACTGAGGAAGCCGAGCAGAAAAATCAAAGCCAGTATGAACTACATATGACAAGATCTTGTCTCTTGGGGGGTGGGGCAGGAAGGGAGAGGAGAGAAAGAAAAGGCCACATCTCTACTTCAGATCCTGCAGACAACTAGGTAGAACATGCTGATGGTGGAGACACGGAATAGTGCGGGTCAAGAGTAAGGCTTATCTGAGGTTCAACCTCTCACGCTATCTTTTTCAGGGCCTTGGCCATGCCAGGCAAGCACTGTACCATTAAGCTACATCCCCAGTCCTCTTAGAGCTTCTTGCCACTCACTCTCACCCTCTGTATCTGACCTGGCCTCCTCCTATTGGCTGAAACTGGGAATATATGACTAAGCTCAGCTGACCTCTAGACTTCAACCCTAAAGCTAAGAAAAACAGCAGCTCAAATCTGTAAAGAGACTTCCCTGATTTACCATAGCCCATCTGCCTGATGCTTCCAGTTAGTAACTGTATTAAGGCCTTCTTCCTCTGTGGCTATAGAAGTTCGTGTATCTTCTCCCGTGGGAGAACACATTGTCAGGGCAACTTGCATCCTGGTTCCAAGCAATGGCCACTCGTTTTTGGCTGAAAATAACTGTTCTCTTATTTCCTTACAACAGAGGTGTTTATTTAACACAATTCCACCAGACCTGAGGCTGGTGTGATGATCCCCAGGAACCAGGCTTGTGGTCTAGGCTGGGGTCTGTTGCAACTGGCAGTTGTTCAGAAACAGGATCACGTATCAGAGGTTAGGTGGCCTTACAAGGTGCCAGAGCCCACAGGTCCAGTGACCAAATCCAAGACCACATTCTGAGCCCGTGGGAACCTCATCCTACAGGTGTCACCTGACTTAATTCAGAGCCCTGATGTCAGGTGGGGAAAACCTGTGGGCTCTGTCTCAGCTCCACCACCCATCCTGTGTGACTGCAGAATCGCTCTATGTCGTAGCGCTGCTTCCCATGCCTCTGACCCGGACTGGGTCTCTTCCCTTCCAGCTTGGACCACTGTGGCCATGTCTTGCCTACCTCCCCCACCCTGGCTCAACACTCATGTTCCTAGCCATGCCTATTGGGGCTGGGGATTTGGCTCAGCAGTAGAATGCTTGCCTAGGAAGCTGGAAGCCTTGGGTTCAGTCCTCGGCACCAAAATAAAAAATAAAACAAAATAAAAATAAACCTCTCCTAGCCATGCCTACTGGCTTCCTTCCTTTGTGCAGCCTGTGCCTGGTAACTCTAATCTTAGGGTCCTTCCTGTGTGGGTCCCCTTGCAACCAGCAAACCTGTGACAATCCCCCTGCCTCATGCTCCCAAGGGCTGGGATTATAGGCGTGCACCACAGGCTTGTTCTAATCTGCCCACGGACCTCGCCCAAGCCTTGAGCTTGGCTGGTTGCTCATCAAATGTTTGTTAAATGAACAAACAGGTGAGGCTAAGTGTACAGGGCTCATACAGCTAGTCTCACTTCAGCTGCAAGTCTGCAACCCCTCAGGACTGTGAATTCTCCCTCCTGTGGCTTCAGAGAAGAGTTCATAGATTATAGCAGAGTGAGGTGCTGCTTCTCTGCTACCCTCAGCTGGCAGAGTAGGGAAAGTGACGAAGTCTAGAGGCTTCTCTGATGTGGCTCCTGACTGCTGGGGACTGTTGGGGAGGTTTCCCTTCGCTGTAGGAAGGCCCAGGAGTTTCCCCTTAGGCTGAAGGAGCAGAGGTCAAAGTCAGCACCTCCTTCCATCTTAGACTTCAGTACCTAACGGATCCCCAGGCCTCCTGGCAAGCGCAAGGTCTCCTGAGTGCTGCTACCATTACAATTGTTTTACATACTTTTTTGAGATAGGATCTTGCTATGTAGTCCAGGCTGGCCTCAAACTACAAGCCTGCACCACCATGCCCAGCTACAGTAATTCTCTGTCCATTTCCTGACTGAATTGAGCTCCCAGAGGCAGGGATGGATCACCTATCCTTTCTCCATTGGACAAATAGTCACCCAGCAGCCCCAGAGGCAGTGATAGGAAACATCACACATGGGTCACACAATGGGTGACAGATGGTTCCACTCCAACCTGGCTCCAGGCTGCTCACACAGGTCAGACCACAAACTCGAGGGCATAAAGACCTGGCAGGGGCACCAGAGCCTGGCTCTCTGCTGGCAGCTGCTGTCAACCCATCTGCCTTTCTGAAGCCCCAGCGGCAAAGCCAGGGGTGGCAGTGGGGTAAGAACTAGCTCGGCTGAAGGACCTGGAGACATACACAACTCTGCTCCCCACGGTCCCCAAGGCCATACTTGAGTGCAGGGCCGGAACCGGACTGGAGGGAGAACATCCAGGACATGCCATGTGCTCTCACCAAGTGCCACTGTGCAGCAAGCGCTGCGTGTGGCTGGAGGCAAAAGCCCCAGCTACAGGCCCTGCCAGACTTGCTCAGTGCCCAAGTTCCAGCTACCTTTGGCCACCCGGATCCTGCCTGCATACCCTATTGCCCAACCCAGACCAGGAGAGGCAGGCTCACCATCCTTCCTCCACCTGCCCACCCCATGCATGTATTGCTTTAGGTCCCAGAGGCCCTCTGGGTATGTGTCACTGCCCTGCCCACTGGGCTGGACGTATCACCTACCTCTGAAGATCAAAGACCTCAGCCAGCCCGGAGTGGGCCACCCAGCTCGTGGAGAAGCACAGGCCATGTGTCACCTCCAGAGCACCTGGACAGCTCACGTGACATGACATAGGTATTCCACAAGGAGACCTAGCCAGTGGCTGACCAGAAGCCACACTGTTCTTGGATGCTGGCCAGACCCCAGCTCAGTCACTTTGTCCTTGCCCTGCTTTGCACCAGAGGGACTGCCCCCAACCAGTGACATCTCCCTGGCTGATGGGAGACTGACCAACAGATGGGTCAGCCAGCAGAGAAGCCAGGGCTCTTTCCTCCCACCCCTTCCCTCATCTCCTGTTTCTGGTGAGGCTGCTGCCAGTGTCATGTTACTTCTTCATTGACGGTCCTGTTAGCAGCCTTTTTTGTGGTCCTGCTCCCAAGCTCCGGCCACACCCTCCTCCCTAGGGGCAGTGGAGGCCTTCTGCTGGGCCCAGACTCTGCCAGCCCTGACAGCTCCCCTGGCACCTTGGCCACTCACTCCCGCACTGGACATGGGCTGTTGGTCTGGACCTGGTGCCCTCTCCTCTTGGCCAACACCACCTCCATGTTCATGTCATCTTCAGAGCCAGACCCCCACAAAGAAGGTGTATGAGGGACAATCAGCACGCTGCTGCAGGTCACACTCCTGGGCAGGGGCAACTGGAGGTGACACTTAGCACAGGCGTGGGCCACCTAGCACAGACACAGTGACAACACAGAGCCAAGGGTACTGCTTGGAAGGGAGGAGCCATCAACAACTCTGACAACAGCCCTCTCTTCCTAAGTTCTTGGTGAGGTGCCCAAGCACGCAGAACCTTCAAAGGGGCACCAGAACCACATGACTTCATGTTGTCACTGAATATCTCATTTTGCAACTGGGCAGATAAACTGTACTTCACAGAGCTGACAGTAAACAAAAGTGAATTGGAACAGGGACATTTATCCAAGCATTCAACACAGCCTGGCACACAGAGGTATTCACTAATTTTTTGTCAAGAAAATCAGCTCAGAAGGCTGAGCTGTGAGCCCACATCCCTAGTCCCTAGAGATTCCCTCAGGGCATCAGGACAGTACAGGCCTCCTGGGAGCCGGCAGGTGCTAGAGGGCCCCAAGCTGAAGAGTTCAATGAGCCTGGGCAGCTGATGTGGGTGGCGGAAGGGTTCATCTGTAAGGTCCCTGAGGGAACTGGGTAGACACTGGAACAGCCAGGTGCTAGATCATGGCAGCTTTGCATGTGACATGGGCCAGAGGAAAGCTGGTAGGGAGGCAGGCTGGGTATGTGCCCGGGAGCGCAGGTTGGCCAAGGAGCTGGCTGCTGGCCACTGGTGTGCTGCATCTGGGTAATGGGGTGGCTCTGTGTGGGGTAGGAGCCGAGCACAGGGTTCAGCCTGGAAAGGAACAAGAGAAAACAGCTGTTCAGCTAGCAGTGACCAGGACCACTGTCATCCCACCCAAGAAAACTGCAGGACTGCCAAACTGCTATTATGATGACCAGCTAGTGTGAGGGACCAAGACAGAAAGGTTGACCCTAAGGGAATAGAAAACAGATGTCCAGGGAGAGCAGGTCAGTGCTATCAAGGGGCCTGGGACAGAAACCGGAAGCTGCCTGAGGTGAGACTTCTGCCTAAGAGCTTATCCACCAGGAAAGCAGTGGGGTGTGAGGGTGGTGGAGGTTGGGGAGGGTTTCAAGCAGGCAGAGCACTTGTGGCCAGCACAGGGCCTTATTCAAGAGCAACCTAACGCCCACACATTTGGTGTGAAACTTCCTATCTGGGCTTCAGGAGTGACGACTCTTTGGCTGGTAGATGGAAGCTAAGGATTCTACCACAGACCATGTGGCTGGGAATACAATGGGTGAGACACGTTAGTGGGTTTGTTCTCTGAGTTTTCTTTTCCTTTTTCCAGTCCTATTGAGCTACACTCCCTGCCTTTTTTATTTTGAGACAAAGTCTCTCTGAATTGCCAGGACTGGCCTCAATCTTGTGACCCTCCTGCCTCAAGCTCTGAACTAGCTGGTATTACAGGTATGTACCACCATGCTCAGCTTGGCCTCTGAACTCTTATGTGAAGTTCCGGATGTGGTGAGTGGATGCACACACCATCAGTGTTTGTGGCAGATGGCTGGACTGAATCTATACTCTATTTTTTTTGAGATAGCATCTCAACTGTAGTTTAGGCTGGCCTTTAGCTTACTATGTAGCCCAGGCTGGCCTTGAACTCATGGCAATCCTCCTGCCTTAGCCTCTGGAGTGCTGGGATTACAGGTATGTGTCACCCCACCCAGCTGCACTTGACTTCAACTACGGACCATCTGCTGAAGTCCAGTCATGGGGCATGTTACACACCACTGTGGTATTAAAAAAAAAAGTCTCATAAAAAATAATGTTAAAAAGGCTCAGGGCTAACAGTGTAATTCAGTGTCAGAGCACTTGGCTATCACGTGCTGGGTTCAATCAAAGCACCTCAAAAAACCAAAACCCCAAACATAGTCCTTGACAGGAGCAACCAGGGAGACGCATATGGCATCCCAAAGCCAAAATAAACAGGGGCATCCTAAAGCTGCCTGTGACACCCCCCAGGGGCTGCTAGAAACATCAGCTTTTGTTCTGTGTCTGCAGTGGGTGCCATGAGGGACCAGACACCACCCATGAGGAGTGCAGCGTCCAGAGCAGGCTGCCACCTCCCTCTGCCCACGTGCCTGTCATGGTGAGGCGGGACCACACCCTGCACAAGGGGGTCACAGCTTCGGACACAGGGTGAGTGTGACACAACGTAGCTGAACTTGTCTACAGGGTGTTAAGTTGTGGCGGTCACCATCCTCAGCTCCTGCACGCATGGCGGCGGCGGTTGTGTCCCTTCTATGCTGGACTTGCACCTTAAGCCCTAAAGCCCGATGAAGTTTCTACCACAGTTACACACTGCGGCTGACCACAGCAGCGCATACCTTTGGGGCCAGGTGACTTAGGAGACTGTGGCAGGGCTGCACATTCGAGACTAGCCTGGGCAACGTACCAAGATCCAGGACCAAAAACCAAAACCTAAAAACACTCTACACATAAAGTCTCTCACAGTTAGACCCAGGAAGGAGTTGCCTGAATACTGAAGCAAAATGGCTAGCTTGCATTTCGGTTTGTTCTCCACTCCTTCTTGCCTATAAAAGATGCTCAGAAGGTCCTGGGAGGGTAAGGGCTGCGAACAGGTACCCCTTGGGAAGAACTCGAAGGGGCGACTTTCCAGTCAACAAAACCCACATCAGGGCAGCACCAAGGGAAAAAGTGAACCCCATGGTGGGGTGAGGGTAGGAAAGGTTGCAGACATTGCACTCTGACTTCCTAGTGAGTTCCTTTTCTCATTTGTTTTTCTTGTACTGGGAATTGAACCGAGGTCCTCTATACTACTTTTTTTTTTTTTTTTTAATTTTGAGACAAGATCTCTCCAAGTTTCTAAGTCGCTCAGGCTGGGCTTGAACTTGAGAAGAACTGCCGTGGAACACCTGGGTCTGGACTAGGCTTTTGACTCTGTAGCACTTGAAATAGGTAACTATATTCTTTCTGGTTTCAATAAAAGCTTGGGTAGCCTGCCTGGCACTTTGGGCAGGACAGCAGGCAAGGCTGGCCTGTAAAAAGGTAACCTCACCTGCTCTCATTGGGCAGCCAAGAATCTCTACCCCAGATCCAGGGCCCCAGCCTAAGCAAACTCGCCAGTCAGGGGCCTGTCTGTGCTTCTAAGTGGGGCTAAGTGCCACAGTCAGTGCAATCGCAGACAGGTGTGTCCCTTCTCCAGACACAGGTGGGCAGCAGCCAGAGTGCTGAGCACACTTGTGCATACAGATTCATTCATTTGCAGTGCGAGGGGAGCAGACCCAAGGCCTTATGCAAGCTAGACAAGCGCTCCACCACGGAGCTGTACCCTCAGCCCCTAGCTGTGCTTCAGCTTTCAAATCTCTGTGCCCCTCTCCCTTTTTGACCCACAGAGGACCAGCTGCATTCTTCCAGCTCTGGAGTTGTTTAAGAATCGGACTGGTGAGCTGTGGAACTTACTTGTGGCTCTGGGCTGCCCTGCGCTCAGCTGAGGACCCTGAGACATACTTGAACATGGGTATCCTCCTCATGAGGCTGAAGGGGAGCGTCTGGTCGAGCTTCCGAGCCACTCGCTCCGGGACGTCGAGGTTACAGCAGTGCGTGAGGCCATCTGAGGTCAGGCACATTAAGTCAAATCGGAGGCAGCAAAGAGGCAGCAGCTGAGCATGACCCTTGGCAGGACAGAGGCTCCCACACACCCTGGCTGGAGGTTCCAGCCCAGGGGAAACCTGGAGGTGAGTGTTTGCATCCATCACACCTCACAGGGAACACAGCCAGCAACAGAGGTGGCAGACGGTGTGAATGCTTCGCCCTCCCCCACGCCTGCCCACCCGTCTCCGAGCCTTCTGTCCTCCCACCACAGTCACAGGCCAGCGCATGCCAGCCCTAGCACAGGAGCAGGCACGAGGCTGTCCTAACATCCCTAGAGGAAGTGGCACCTTCTGGTACTTTGGTCCAAAACAGAAAGCGCCCTGCTCAATGTGACAACGTAAGATTCTCTGGCAGTACTGTTTCTCTATCCTGTCACTATCCGCAATGATTCTAGTGCCCTGGTCATCTACCCTATGACTGCCTACTGTAAAGATGCAGCCATCGCTTATCCAGACAGCCTTTCCACAAATATTTACTAGACATCTACTATATGCCTGGATTAAGGAGTAAGTGCAGCTTGCCTGTCCCTTATCTAAAATGGCTGGGGCCAGAAGTGTTTCAGATTCCAGGGATTTCTGAATATATCTACATATCCGGGCTGGGGAGATAGCTCAGTGGAATAAACTCCTGAGTTCGATCCCTGCTAGTGAAAAAAAAAAAAAAAAAGTGTGTGTCTTGAATATCTACATATTCAAAATAGATATCTTAAGGATGGGCTCCAAGATTAAGCACAAAATTCATCTTGTTTCATTTTGACCTTTTTTTTGGCGGAACCGTGGATTGAACTCAGGCCCTTGCACTTGCCAGGGAAGCGCTTATTCCACTGAGCCACCTCCCCAACCCCTCATTTTGACCTTTTACAAATAGGTAGAAGGGCTTTTCACACAATATTTTTAGTACACCTGTTTTTCTACCGTGACCCATCATAAAAGGTCAAGTGTGGAATTTTCCACTTGTATTTGGTTGGTTCTAAAGATGCTGCAGGTTTTGGGGCACTTTGAAGTTCAGCTTTCTGCATTAGGGATGCTGAATCTGTAGTAAATAGGAGACAAAGAGTCACTGGGGCAGAGAGATGGTGATAAGCACAAGTTTACAGAAGACCACGCAGGGCCCCTGCACTCGGAGTGGGGAAGGCTCTCCCTGAGGAAGGGATGTGAATGCTGAACCCGACATTGCAAGAAGCACTGACAAGAACAGTGTGGCAATGGAGAAGGGCCTGCAAGAAGCCCCAGCAAGAGAGATTGCTGAGGTGGGCTCTTGACAGGAATGCAACTTGCATTTTCAGCAAGGTAATTCTTTGCTGGCTGGAGCAGTTTAGCAGCCCTGGCCACTGGCCTCTACCTCACAGCAGCCTAAATAGCCCTGCCTATTTCTGCACCCACTCAGGGAGGACAGTCTACTGTATTTCCAAATTTCAATTCCACGCGATATCCAGTGCTATGAAGAAGTCAAATGCTACACTAGAAACTCCAGCCTAAGTAACTATAACAAATATAAGCTGTTTTCAGGCTTTGGACAATAAATATTGCTGGGCTGTGAACTCTCAGAAAAGGAAAACAACTGTGAACCCCAAGACACACAGCTTTCTGTCTAGAGCCACTCTGAATTTGTAGCACAGCACAGCATTTGCTGCTGGGCGAGAGAGATGATTAGGTGAAGTAGCAGGGTCTGCAGGGCACACTAATGAAGAGGCCACTTCCCAGGGAAGGGGCTCTAGAAATCTGCGTGAGTTCTTGGGGTCTCTGGCTCAATGCTGAGGTGCACGTGCACTGGCCGTCTCCTCATGCCAAGCAAGAAGAGCTTCTGGGGGAAACAACGGTTGGGGGCTGAGAGCTGATCAGTCCCCAACTCACACAGGGTGGCAGTCTGGGACACTCATGTTCCTGGCAGAGTGAGGAGATCTCGGCCCATACCCAGGACATTCAGGTGCCCCTCCCCCAACACACTGCCCTAAACATAAGGCGAAACTAGCTACTGAGGAAAGGCTCTGCTAGACTACTCCTGAAAGAGGTAACAAAACTTAGAACTTCAAATTAATTTTCCAGTGAATTCACTATTGGGACAAAATGAACACTCTTTTTTTCCTTTCAGTCTTTTCTGAGACAGGATCTCACTATTCAGCTCAAGCTGGCGCAGGCTGGTCTCGAACCTGCATCAATTCTCCCGCTTCAACCTCCTGAGTGCTGGGATTACAGGCATGTTGCCACCACAGCAGGCCCTCCCAAAATCAATGCTCATTAAAGGAAAGAAACAGCTTTTCAGTAATACAGCATGCACAGCATCTAGCATATGATTAAAAATTGCTAGACACGCAAAGCAGCACAAAAACTTGGCCCCTAATCAGGAGGAAAATCAATAGAAATAACCAGTACCAAAATGGCAGATAGTATTAACAGACAAGGGATTGTTACAAAAATGATTTTTAAAATGTAAGTATTTGGGGTGGGGATGTAGGTCTGTGGTACAGCATTTGCCTGGCAAGTGTGAGGCCCTGGGATTTCTGGTAGGAAAAAAAAAAAATATATATATATATATACGCGCACACACATACACACACGTATATGTTAGTGTGTGTTATTATTTATTTATTTATTTGTATTTTTTAAGGAAAGGGTCTATAGGGTATTCAGGGTCTCACTACTAGATCACTCATAGTGATCTGCCTATTTACAGCCTCCCAAGAATTGGGATTAGAGGTTCGCACCACCATGCCCAGTCTCAAATACCATCTCAGCGCGCCTGGGGGAGGGGCTCGCATGGCAGGGCCAGGGATTGAACCCCCAGCCTGTGCACCTGCTTGTAGGTGCTTTAATCCACTGGGCTATTTGGCTGGCCCTTAGTGTGTATTATTTAAAGGAAAATATATATGGAGCTGGGGAGATAGCTCAGTAGAATAAGTGTATGCCTGGCAAGCACAAGGGCCTGAGTTTAATCCCTGGTTCTGGAAAAAAAAAAAAAAAAAAAAAAACTAAAGGAAAATATAATAAATCTCAATAAAGAAATGAAAACTATAAAAAAGAACCAAATGGAGCTGGTGTGGTGACACATACCCAACACTCAGCAGGCTGAGGCAGGAGGATCATTGCAAATTTCGGGCCAGTCTGGGCTACATAGTAAGTTCAAAGCCAGCCTGAACTATATATCAAGATCCTATTTCAAAACAAAACAAAAATAACAACAAAAGAACAAAATGAAGCGCCAAGAGATAGCTCAGCGGCCTAAGTGCCTGCTCAGAAAGTACAAGGTCCTGAGTTAGAGTTCCCAGTGCAGCAAAAAAAAAAGGAACAAAACGAAAACTTCTGAACTAAAATATAAACATATGGCATGAAAACATGTGACAGGTGAAATAGTTTGACTAGAAAAAAAAATTTGAAGAAATAATGACCAGACATTATTTTCAAATTTGATGAAAGTTCTTCAGATCAAAGCTCAGTGAACTGTAATCAAGATAAACACTAAGAAAGCCGGCTCAAGGCTGTCAGAATTAAATAGCTGAGGGTGGGGGCGGGGCTGGACGACGGAGTCTGGATTTGATCAATACATGCTGTATGCAGATGTGGAAGTATCGCGCTGAACCACTTTAGTCTGTATAATTTATACCTATTAATAAAATTAAATAGCTGAAAACTGCTATCTGGTGGTGCATAGCTGTCATTTTAGCACTTGAAAGGGGGATTACCGTAAGGTCCAGGCCAGTCTGGCTTATATCTTGAGATCAAGGCCAGCCTGAACTATATAGTAATATCCTGTCTCAAAAAGAAAAAGAAACAAAAGAAAAAAATAGCTGAAGTTGGGTTGGTGCTGTACTCCTGTAACCCCAGCACTTGGAAGGCTGAGGGAGGAGGATCACTGTAAATTCGAGGCCAGCAAGGGCTATGTACTGAGTCAAGGCCAACTTGCTGAACATAAATAAAAAAGAAACACCAAAACCTCCTGAAAACAAATTATAAATAAAACATGAAAGCCAGAAAAAAAAAAAAAATCACACAAACTACAACAACAACAAAAAATCATTACTAATGTCTTACTATAAACAATACAAGCCAGGTGAAAATACAAAGATGGCTTTAAAAGTACACCAGGAGCTAGTAGCCCAGGGACACACTTGCCAGGCTGCTTGGAGCCCTGGTTTAATCTCCAGGAGCACAATTTTTAAAAATTAATTAATTAGTAACTTAAAAAGAAAAGTCTAGGGAGATCAGAGAATGCTACAATTCTATATTTAATGAAATAAAAGCATTTTTAGACAATTGCTTTTAGACAAAAGCATTTTGAGGCAATTTGTCACCAGCAGATCTGCTGTATCAGAAATGTTAATGGAAGTTCTTCAGGCTAAAAGAAAATGATACCAGATAGAAACTTGAATCTATACAAAGAAGAACAGAACTAGAAATGGTAAATATATAGGTAGGTGTCTCGTTCAGTTAATTTAAAAAGTACACACACACACTTTTTGAGACAAGGTCTCACTGTTTTGTTCAGGCGGGCCTTGAACTCACTTACGTAGCTAGGCTACCTTGACCTTCCCGTGGTCCTGCCACTTCAGCCTCCTGAGTGCTTGGACTACAGGCGTGTGCCACCATGTGTGATAAGTACACATAACTGACTAAACTAACCACAATATGTTACGTGTTTTACAACACATGTACAATTAAAATGTGTGCAACAAGAACATATTATAGGCTTCTGACATACAGAGTGTGTCCGAGGATAGACTATAAGCTTCAAATACATAGTGTAAGTTCTAACAACCACTAAAAAGTAAAACAATGAGGAACAGCTAATAAACAGAGAAGGTTAAATATTAAAAAAAATTCAAGGGCTGGCCAACTAGCTCAGCAGATTAAAGCACCTGTAAGCAGG